TTCATCGTACAGCAGTTTAGCCAAACCATTCATCGTACAGCAGTTTAGCCAAACCATTCATCCTACAGAGGTTTAGCCCCGCCTGCCTGTCCTACAGCAGTTTAGTCCCACCCATTCATCGTACAGCAGTTTGGCACCACCTATTCATCGTTTAGCCCTAATTATTCACCATACAGCAGTTTGGCCCCACCCATTAAGCCTGCAGCAGTTTAGCCCCACCTATTCAGCCTACAGTGGTTTAGCCCCAATTATTCACCATACAGTAGTTTAGTCCCGCCCATTCAGCCAACAGCAGTTTAGCCCCACTTATTCACCATAGGGCAGTTTAGCCCCACCCATTAAGCCTACAGCAGTTTAGCCCCACCCATTCATCCTACAACAGTTTAGCCCCACCCACTCACCTTACAGCAGTTTAGCCCAACAGCAGTTTAGCCCCACCCCATTCAGCTCACAGCAGTTTAGCTCCACCCACTCAGCCTACAGCAGTTTAGCCCCACCCATTCATCCTATAACAGTTTAGCCCCACCCACTCCCCCAGCCCTGAGGATTTCAGTTCCAACTTAATAGTCTGTTTCACCTTTCAGCCTTGACTTTTGAGTGAGGCACAGTACAGGGCAGCCAATCAGGACAGAGCTTGTTTACATAGATCGGCCTTCAAGGCACAGTAATGAAAACAGCCTGTCTAAGGGATAAAGAGAGGTTGGAAGATTATGCAAAAATGACTGAAAAAACACACAGATGTCATAAGTGATCCTCAGGAGAAAAAAATAAAAAAGAAGGAAAATGTAGAATACGGGCTCTTTAATAGATCATATTCAGAATGTCTGCCTCTAACCAGCTGTTTCCTCTACCATGTAATGCACAGTTTTATCAGCAGGGCTTTACTGTTCTCTCTTCTCAGAGCTGCCGGCATGCAGGTCATGGAGCAGAGCTAATCCTCAAAGCTAACGCTACAGGCCTAAATATCTCCAACAGCTACATTAAGATGGAACAGACTGGTGTCCTTTGGATTTAGGACAGATTCTCTGACTTTAGGGCTGTTTTTTGTTTACAATATCATTTACAAACACAAACAGGTTTGTTTGTATACAATATCAGATCAAAAGGTCATATATACATCCCATGTGGATTATATATGTGTTAATATCTATATGTAATAATAATGTCCCATATGTAATACATACACTGACCAGCCACTTCATTAAAACCTATCCTTGTATCTACACTCACAGTCCATTTGAACAGCTCCACTGACCATACAGGAGCACCTTCTAGTTCTACAATTACAGATTGTAGTCCATCTGTTTCTCTGCATACTTTGTCACCCTGTTCTTCAATGGTCAGGACCTCCACAGGACCACCACAAATCAGGTATTATTTGAATGGTGGTTCATTCTCAGTAGTGCAGTAACACTGATGTGGTGATGGTGTGTTAGTGTGTGTCGCGGTGGTCCGAGTGGATCAGACACAGCAGTGCTGCTGGAGGTTTTAAATACTGTGTCCGCTCACCGTCCACTCTATTAGACACTCCTACCTACCTTGTCCACCTTGTAGATGTAAAGTCAGAGATGATAGCTCATCTGCTGCTGCACAGCATTTTGCACAGCTTCACAACTTTTTTGGAAATAGGGTTGTAAAAATAGTATTCATCTATATGCTTTGTCGTGCTTATCCAATCACAATAAGCCACTTTAACTTGCATTCTTGTATATGAACAGTACATAAAGAGGTTATATCGAAATACTGAACTCAGTCATGTTCAGCTAGACTGTACTTGTGCTACGTACACAAGCTCACTCAGATCACACCTTCACATGTGTATTGCTGTGTGACTGTGACATTTCTGAGTGTCTGCTGGGACCTGCAGTCTGAGTCTGAGTTTTAGCGTAGCGGCTAAATGGGATGGCGCGGCTGGGCAGTGTGCATGTCTGCAGTGAATCGTACCTAATGGATCATTCTGTGGTATTTTAGGCCCTAAATGCAACATTCTGACCTCACAGTCGCTCCACAACTTAACATACATTATTCACCAGGAGAGGGAGCCTGCCCCCTACAGACGGTAGAGGAAACTGCAGGAGTCAGATCACATAGTAGAACAGGCAGAATTTAAAGTTTGTTAGGGAATCACTACCAGACTGAAATAAACTCTTAATAAACTCTCTGCAATAAACACCTTAATGAACATGCAGTTAATGAGACAGTTTGGACAAATATGTCCTGTTAACTCAAATGGTCACCCAAGACGTGTTTGCACTGGACCTGCTAGGCTAATGTAACAAGTAAGCTTATGCGCACCAATTAGCATGGCACGAATTGCACCTGTTTATCCATGTCAAACTGTTAAGTAATCACTAACAGGCTTGATTATGTGGTGTCTGACACTGTATGACTCACTGTTATCTATAAACATGGACTTAAGTACATTAGCATAGCTATAAACAGTAGTAACCATCATAGTACATACTGAATAATTCATAGTAAATATTGTATAATTCATAGTTGAGACTGAATAATCTATAGTAAATACTGTATAATTCATAGGAGATATTAAATAATTCGTTGTAGGTACTGAATAATTCAAAGTGGATACTGAGCAATTCATAGTAGAGATTTCAAAACGCTAATTTATTTGAATAATTCTGAAAGCAGTACTACAGGTGGAATTAGTTGACAACATGAAACAGAATAGAACTAGAAATATATTTAAAGAATTAAAATATTCTCATTAGCATCATTAAAAATAGTATAAGAAAATCATGTTTTCGACAAGATAAATACACAGATAAATCAAAAATCAAACAGCGGTCCAGCCCTGTAATATTAGTACATTCTGTGCACGCATAACAGCAAATATATATGCACATAAATTACTGTACATCTGAATGCATATACTGTAAACATACATGCATGCAGAATAGCATATTCTGTTCATGCATATTCATAGCATATTCTGTTCCATATCTTGTTCATGCTACAATGCTATTACACTGAAGTAAACAGAGCCTTATCATCACTGTGCTAATTTATTCTTAACTCCATTTTTACATTTTTGTTTACATCATTAGAAAATTCCAGCTTTTCATTTCTTGATGACTGCACTAAAAAAGTGCTGCTCTAAACTCACTTTATTAAAATGCATACATAATTTTCAAATGAATTCAAGAAATGTATTATGTCAACACTATTCTGTCTTTTAGCTTACTTACTTACTTACATATCTGGCAGAAATAGTGCTGATGCAAAATATTTTGACTTTTTATTCTATTTTAATTTAATACTTTAAATATTATATGATATTACATTTTGGACTTTATTCAAAAGCAAAACTTTTCAAGACTTTACTATTACACTAACATTTTAACCCTTTACAGCATAAGTTATATAGAGAAATATATATGAAAAACAATTAAATAAGAAGCATACTTTGCATTTTGTTGCCATATGGCAACAGCGTGCCACAATGGAACTGTGGTCTGTGAGCACAATGAGAGTGAATGATTGTCCTGCCATAGGTTACATTTATCATTGAGGCATGACAAGAAAACCTAACAGCATAACAGCCATATATGTATGAATGATTTAAAAAGACAGAATATAAGAAGTATAAAAATAATTATAATGATTAAAAACATCAACTTGGTGTCCAGTAAGAGTATATTCATTGCTACAGTTCCATTGGCGCCTGCTGTTGCCACATGGCAACAATTTTGTTTTTGCAATTTTTATAAGACACATAACATCTAAAGAAGCTTTACTTATGAAAAAGAAACTGTAACCCCCCCAGACTGTGTTTTCTTCTTGATTAGTTGTTGTGTGTAAACACAGAGTTATACTCTCTAATAGTTTGAGAGCTCTTCAGGAGCTAGACATCAACATGTGAAAAAAGAGGTACAGACTCAAATTGGAAAGCATGTCAGATGAAAGTCTACCAAGTTACACATAAAGCCCCCAATTTTCCCAAAGAAAAAGAGAAAAAAAACAAGCTTTTACGTTGTACTTGATAAAAATGTAAAGAACCTACTTGTTGCCTTAAGGCAACAATATGCAGTAAAGAGTTAACATAACATTTCTTCCTTGTGCTATTAAAAGGGGATTCCAAACCTCTGCATAACTGAATTTTTGAAATGTAGACAAAGTCATTCAGAGTGGTTTGCTGGGATATAATGCATTTAAGAGAACTTATTGATTTCTTTACAGTGGTGGTGATTGGAACCATTTGTCGCCAACACAAATATAGACATTTTATTTACTCTCCAAAATCACCAGTGAACCTACACGTCTTGATGATGGCAAAACAGTGATAAATATGAAAAAAAACAAACAAGTTTTCTACTTGCCTTTTTTTTTTGCAAGGTCTTTGTAAAACCATAAGTGCACTCAATAATCTAATTATAATCGAATTTCTGCAGTTATCTGATTATTCAAATGGTCGTGTAAACAGCACACTCTGATTTCTTAGATGGGAGTAAAGTCTAGAAATCCTATTAAGAATAAAAAGATAAAGAGAGCTGGATTTTAGCTCAGTAATCAGATTTCTCAGTGCATGTAAACCATTCTGATTTCTTTCAGATTTCTCTGTCTCAGACAGCGGTATCGGAAATAAGCAGCAGCGTTGCCGTGAGATTCAGCAAAACACTTTTGGAGAGAAAACCGAAACCGACTACATGCTCGAAATGAAGGATTTAAATATTCTTCATTTTCTAGATGATGTGTGTTCATATTTTCAGGTAAAGTGATGTGATATTTTAAAAAAAGGTCACGGCATGAAGTTTGAGTTTTACATAACGTTTATGTCACGTCATCTTCTGAGTTTACTGGCTGGTTACAAAGTAGAAATCTGATTACTGTTCGACTCATGTAGACACGGAGTTTCACCATTATCTGATTACCCAAGGGCATGCCAATGCGTTGATTGGATTACTGACAAAATCTGACTTTCTGCCGTTATCAGATTATTAAGTGCATGTAAACGCACTCGATGTTTTAGGCATCAGGCAGTGTATTCATACTCATTTCATGTAATAACTTGCTCTCTACAAAGGAGCATTTCACACCAAACCACTCTGAATGACTTTGTTTCCATCTTAACACTTTCATTATGCAGAAATTTTGACAAATCACTGGATACGGTTTTGTAGATGTTAGCTTTTCTTTTGACATTAATGATATTCTGATTATGAACATAGCAATAAAGGGACACTAGCTTAAGGCCTTTAGCACAAAATTATATCTTTCCTCTACTCATCAGGTTGTCATAGGTGGAGAATCCATCTGGCTTATAGTCCTCATGTTCTTCTCCATTTTTCTCATCATCTTTATCGTCCTCTATCTCCTCTGGGAGGTTATAAGCGCTGATCACCTCCCAGGGAGCCCTGGCCTCATATTCTTCTGGTTCTGCGTAAATGGCTTCAGCAATGTAGTCCTCTGATTGAAGGTCCATAGACAGATCCCAGCAGGTCCTTCTGAGATGTTTCTATGGGTTCTTCTTGAGAATAGGTCAAGCTCTCCAGAGGATCAGGCAGTGGACCAAGCTGGTGTATGTAGTCTTTGATGCCATGCTGGTGGGCTTTTTGATCATTTTTTGACTCATTTTGACCTCGAGGTTTGCTAATGCTAGCATAAAGTGGCTCCTGGACCTGAGGGATCGAAGAGGAAGTAGAAGAAGGGCAGCTGTTGATGCTCCTTACTTGGCCCTTGTTTGGAGGTTCAATGGAGTTCAGTGACAAGCTCCTGAAGGTTGGGGTCAGTTTTTTTAATGAGCGTTGCTTTGGGCCAGAAGAAAGCATGGCGTCCTGACCTGCACTGTCAGATAGCATGGGGTTTACTATACTGTAAACACACATGTCATCCATGCTTTGTGGAACGGGATCCGCTTTTTTAGAGTTTTTGGGTTTATTACCCGGTTTCTCAGCTGACGGAAGGTTCTGGATGGCGTCGCTGACGATTCTGAAGATCCGTTCGCCATTGTTGGTGGTAAACTCAAAGCTTCCCTCACCACTTTGACACCTGCGACCAGCCTCAAAGGAGAACGACAGCTGGGGAGGAAAAAAAGAGGGAACAGAAACGTTAACGTTTCTATTTTCAGCAGGCTGAAGTTTGCCTACAACTTGTAGAGTGATTCTAAAAGCAAGCTGTTGATCTCCCTCAGGAGAAAAGTCATGCAAATACAAATGAGAACATCCTCAGAATGAGAAGATCAACAAAATTAACCTTCATTACCACTACAGAGCCACAATTCTTGAATGGAATTGCAAAGTTTGGGGTGAAACAGAAACAGATATCATTGCTGATATAAAAAAAAACTGCAGCTCTGTATTTTTCTTCTAAATTTTGTTTTAAGACTTTAAAAAGCCTCGACAAACAATGAAACCAGCTAAGTTGGGTGTAATTCATAGGACGTGTCAGCAAGCCATAAAGGTTTCTGTGTTTTGGATATCTGAAATTGAGTTCTGGACAGCTTTTCTGAGAAGATCCCTTATGAAAACCACTTATTCAGTGAGCAAGAATTAGAATCTATTCAGTGATTGTTTTTTGGCATTTGAACTTCACAACATTAACAACCATGCAAAACATTAGTAAAGTCAGTGTTCTTGCTAACAGGGGAATCTTTGAGCACATCCTTAATGAAGTTTCTATTTCACTACTGTTTCACTAACATGCCATCAACTTGCCCTCATGTTCCCTTTGGGGGGGGGATTTTAATGACATCTTAAGTGCTTTTCCATTACTAAGTTTACTTAGCTAGCTAATTGGTGCAAGTGCATTTCTATTAAAAAGCCTGGCTCTCCTTGTCCACTGTATTACCTGTTGTGACCCCATGACCCAAACCATGACCTTAAGAAATCATTTGATAGGTTTCCTTAACACAGCTAAACTACCAAAACCCTTTGGATGGCTCCTATTAGCCAAACATTTAGTGAACAGCACACTTAGTGGGGCGTTTATCATAGAGACGTAATTAATAGCTGATAATGAAAGTCAACTATTGTTAGCTAACATTTTACATAATGTTATATTAATATGCAAATTAAATTTAAACAGAGATTCAACTCTGAAATTGCATTTTATTATTGATTCAAAAAGACTTTACAAACAATACGAAATCTACATTGATTACAACAGTTGACTAACACTACAATCTCATCACCAGCTGACTTACCAAAGCAGTTGGCTGCGTGCGGACCCAGCAATGTTTGTAAACAGGCAACCCATTTACATCCCAGGGTTCTATCTTTCCAGGATTTTATATTTCCGGGGTTTCATATTCATATGACTTAACTAAAACAGTAATGAAAGGCACTTCTGTTCTGGTAATTTCAGCCATAATCTCACAACACAGTGGTTGCATGAAAACAAGGTGGATAAAGTGACCATTTCTGAGATATTGGCCATTTTTATGACAACAACGAGATACAAAAACTATATGTCAAAGAAACACCTCCATCCTTACCCTGTCCTGCCCGAATTTCCGGATGAAGCAGTACGGCCAGGAGAGGATGACCTGTTTGGTTTTATGGTCCTTTAGGAGAATGCAGTCATTATGTGGGGTCAGAATGTATTCGCCGTACAGTTTACACCGGATTGCCGCTTCTGTGTCCATCGCAATGACCAGGAAATCTCGCACTACGACAGAAAGAGAGAAGCATGTGAAGGACCACACTGCTTAGTTAAACATGCAGTGTGCTGAAATATGTTTAAATCTTTTATATCTCAAATCTCCTGTGGTGTCACCAAAAGGCCCTTCCTAACCTCGCCTGTAGAAGTTCAGCCTAGAGGTGGAGTGAAGCCTCTGCCAGGCCTCGTGTGTAAAAGTGATAAAGCAGCTTGTTGATAATTCTCAATAATACTTATTAATATGGCACAGAAACCACATGGTAACAACTGAACACAGACTGACCTGTTCATTTGGTTATCACTGGGTACTTAGCTAGTTAGTGGTCATTCCTATGTTCCCATGACCCTTTATTTGCACTTTAAAATTACTTTACAGCCATATGGTTCAGTGCCTTATGTTCCTCAGGATCTGTGTTCCCTCTTTGTAATTTTGGAAAAAATGTATTCCCAAAGTCCTATATTCCCAGAGTCTTATGTTCCCAGGGTTTTATATTAGTATAAATTTAATATTTTATGTTAGTTTTATATTCACAGGGTCATATGTCAATATATTTCTACACTCCCAGAGTCGTAAGTTCCCAGTACTCTATATTTCCAGGGTCCTATATTCCCAGGCCCCTTTATTCCCAGGGTTTTATATTCCCAGGGTTTTATATTCTCAGGGTTCTATGTTGCCAGGGTCGTATATTTCCAGAGTCCTATATTTTCAGGGTCCTATATTCCCAGTGTCCTATATTTCCAGCGTTCTGTGTTCCCAGGGTCCTATATTCCAAGAGTCCTATATTTCCAGGGTTCTATAATCCCAGAATCCTATATTTCCAGGCTCTTATATTCCTAGGGTTCTATATTCCCAGGGTCCTATAAATCCAGGGTCTTATATTCCTAGGGTTCTACATTCCCAGTGTTCTGTGTTCCCAGGGTCCTATATTCCCAGAGTCCTACATTTCCAGGCTCTTATATTCCTAGGGTTCTGTATTTCCAGAGTCTTAAAATTCCTGAGTCTTATATTCCTAGGGTCCTAAATTCCCAGGGTCTTATTGTAATATATTCCTATATTTCCAGGGTCCTATATTCCCAGAGTCCTATATTGCCAGGGCCGTATGTAGCCATCACCCCAAGTTTTAGCCCCATGTTACCTCAGTTATCGTTCTATATTCTATATTCCCAATATTCCTTGTTCCCAGGGTCTTTTATTCCCAGTGTCCTATGTTCCCAGAGTCCTGTGTTACCAGGGCCGTATGTAGCCATCGCCCCAAGTTTTAGCCCCATGTTACCTCAGTTATGGTTCCTATATATTCACAAACATACATATTCTGTCATAACATGTTTTTTAAATATCTGAAATTGAGTTCTGGACAGCTTTTCCAAGAAGATCCCTTATGAAAACCCCTTTTTCAGTGAGCAAGAATTAGAATCTATTCAGTGATTGTTTTTATTTATAATTGCATTTGAACTTCAAAACATTAACGGCTGTGCAAAACATTAGTAAAGTCAGGGTTCATGTTTACAGGGGAATCTTTGAGCACATCCTTAATAAAGTTTGTACTCTCTATTTCACTATTGTTTCACTAACGTGTCGTCATTAACTTCCCTTCATGTTCCCTTTGTGGGGGGGGTCCACTGTATTGCCTGTTGTGACCCCATGACCCAAACCATTACCTTAGGAATCCTTTGATAGGTTTTCTTAACACAGCTAAACTACCAAAACCCTTTCTCAAGCTTACTTAAAGGGTACTTAGCTAGTTAGCTACCTTACTTAGCTAGGTATCTTTAAAGCAGCCTCCTAAAAACATAGCAAGTTAATCAGTTAATTCCAATCTAAATAAAGTAACCTGTGAGCGCACACTGAAGAGAGGGACCGTGAAGGGTGGTCTTCTGATGCCCTTGCTATGATGGTACAGGCTGAATGATGCAACAAGAATATCCAATTAAGAAACACACTCAGCCAATTAAGCATCAAATGTGATCTTATTAAGAATTAATGATATCTGGACCTCCATTAAACACTTGAGGGTAAATGTATAAGAAAGAGCTCAGTGTCAGTCCATGACCCCATTTCCTGTCCTCTTTTCTGCTCCACTAAGCACCTTTTTTCATCAGTTTATGTTACTGAACGAGCCTGTAGGGCGTCCTCCTCCTTAACTCTGTAAGTCAGAACTGGATGCAGTGGTGGGCAATATGGCAAAAATGTAATATCCCAATACCTCAAGATACTTTGATTTATATACAATTTGTCATGATATCTGGTTATTCTGAAGTTTGATACGTTGAAACCAGCAGTACCACATTAAAAATACCATAAGAACTATGAATGCAATGATTTTCATTGAACAACTCGGGTGTTGTCCTGCACGAAATCCAGTTAAACAATATCCACAATATACTGAGACAGTGTACTCTGACATCATCATGATAAATGTTGTCATATTGCTCAGCCCTAGTTGGATGGATGTGTGGTCTGGCTTAGAGTAACTTAAGCCATGCTACAGAGGCTAGCCGTGTAGGCTGCAGTGGTAACTTAGCTAGCTAGCAATGTTAAACCTTCTGCTTAGACTATCAATTCGATTTTTATCCTTAAAATCTTGATTACATGACAAAAAGTATACCTAACCTGTAAATAACTGGCTCTAAATGTAGGTACTGTGATATAAACTGAGTCTGTTCTACGGTTTCTCATTAGGCTGAATGAATAACTGACTCTAAATGTAAGTATTGTGATATAAACTGAGTTTAATAGGATTTGTAAAGCCCTTCCAAACCCATTTGTAGGTGGATCATGGATAAGTCAATTTAGCAACACTGTCATCTCACTAAGAATGAACTTCTGTTAAAACACTGGAGGGTAAATATGTAGGGAAGGGCTCAATGTCAGTCCATTTCCCCAGCTCCCTTTCCACACCGCTGGACACCTTTTTTGCACCAGATTGTGTTATTGAAAGAGCCTGTGGGGCATCCTCCTCCCCTGAGATAACTCTGTAATTCAGAATTGGATGGATATCCGCAGGAGAAGAGCGAAAAGCCAGGTCCGTCTGAACTCGGCCTTTGTTCCTTCAACGGATGTTCACAGCTGTCACTCTCTGAAGAGCACAAAGAGATCTTTTTACTTTCCTCTGTGCGTTTCTAGATGAAGCAGGTGCAGGTCCAGCTGGCCGGGCGCCCAGCAGGCCCAGAAGAACATCAGATTTATTTGTTTTCCTTTTCTGCTCGGCTGTTTTCGGCACTGCCCCCCGGAGATAGCGGCCCGGCGGCACATCTTGAGGCGCGGCCCGAGTGCCAAGCCCGGCTAAAGAGATAATCACGCCGTGGCAGAGTTTGCATGTGTTGGTTAACCTGGACTACCCTCTGAGCTCCTACAGCTTTAGACTCGCCGTTACCCACAAGGCTTTGCACTTAGGGGGGGAACTCGATTACTCTGCAAAGGATTTCACTTCAATCAGGTGGCCTGCTCTTTGAGTGGAATGAGGGAAGCGTTTTTTCTCTTATTTTGCACAATTGCACTGCTCTTTCATTTCATCCTCTGATGCTCAGCGACAGGATATTTTTTATTTTTTTATTTTTTCTTCCCCCTACAGATAATGTCTGTCTATTTTTAAGACAGCTTCACTTGGATGTTGCCTTTGATTTCAGCAAAAAGCTGCTGTCAAGGACACTTTCTCAATGCCTTCTTCTGGTTACCCGGCTTCACGCCTTCACACAGGCGCCACAGTGCATATTCATGCGTGCCTGATGCATCTTCATGCTTATATGGCACACGTTAGTGCACAAGCCTCGTCGTCTGTATTCTCACATGCTCCCAAGAGCGCATATAATCTTCACAGATTGTGCTTAGAACCAATTTCACATGAGCGCTAATAGTGCCAACATGCAAATAATCAGTCCATACTGTGCAAAAGCATTTATTTAATTTCAGGTCAAAACAGCCATGAAGTACAAGAGATAGTTTCAAAACTGATTAAAAGCTACAGAGAAATTGGGGCTCCTAACAACCACGTGGAAGACCTGGAAGACACCAAAATTGTCCCCATCAGATAAACAGCAATTAAAGCTTTCATCTTTGAGAGAGAGGAGAAAATCAAGCTGCTTCAGATCTGAAAACATCCACAGGTGTTTCTGTCCATCCTTCCACTGTGAGAAGACAACTCAGCGCTATGGGTCTGAAAGGATGTGTAGCTGTCAAGAAGCCTCACTGAGAAAAGGAGACGGACACATCAAACAAAGAAGCTGAACAGTGGACTGACCACCCCAGAGTCCAGACCTCAACATCACTAAATGTGTTTGATTGCTTCAGAAAACGATCAACCAGCTTCTAAAACTAAACTTTATTGGTGTGTCTGCAGATTTCATGTTTTTTAATGACGCCTTTAAAGGGCGGCGAGTGACGTTTGTTTATTTGATATTTGTTAATGATGCCTTTAGAGGGCAGTGTTGAGAAATGTTTGTTTATTTGATGTTTGTTAATGACACCTTTTGGGCAGGGTTTCTCAACTTATGTGCCGTGGACCACCAGTAGGCCGTGAAGTACCCTCTAGTGGGGGTGGTAATTAGTGGGCCGGTAACATAACTGTAAGTCATAAAAACATACGTGAAAAAAGTTATAAATATTTAAAATATATATGAATCGTTTTCACATTCTAATCAATATAAATAATAATAGAGTTGTACAAATAAAAATATCGCAGTAGTGGCTAATTAAATGTCATCAGCTTTCAGACAGCACAGCTGCGGGCGCGCAATGCAGACAGCAAACCAGAGATGGAGAAGTTTCTCAGGGGCGCTTTGTTTGGTGAGGACTTATCACACCTTTTCTTTAGTTCGCTCTGTTTTTTAACATGTGAACACACCACTCGTATTTGGATCTGCAGCAAACAGCTGAACCAGTCCGGCAGAAACCCATCAGACTGAACCCTGTTCAGTTCACTGCTGATGGAAACGTGTTCTGTGATCAAATGAAGGAATTCCTCAACAGAGCTGGCTTTACTCTTCTTATAGAGTCACGACGGCTCTGTACA